CCTCTGGCTCCTGGCTCCTAAAGGGGCCTCCTTTTCTTTTGCCTGGACAAGAAGAAAAGCAGCGAAAGGCTCCCGGCTTTGCATTTAGACACCAATAGGGGAAGCTAGGAACTTCTCTGAGGTTTATGGTTTCCTGGCCCAGAGAAAAACAAGCATGGTGACGGGGAAAGGGTCGGGCAAGGAGAGGCAGCTGCCAGGGTTCAAAGGCCCCCGTGGCTCCCTGAGGCCCTGTGGGACCGGCACGGGGCCAGCCCCACAGCCCGAGGCCCTGGGGATGCGGCCGGGCTCTGCACTGGAAGCCGGCGACACACACGAGCCATTTTCAGAAGGAAAGACAAGGAAGGGACAGTGCTTCCAGTGCCCTGGACTTCCGTAGCAGTCGGTAGTGATCAGGGACTGGATGAGCTAAGAGCAGGGGGTGGCCAGCAGCACGGGGAGCTGGGACACTGGCCCACAGCGAGTCCCCAGGTCCATCCCGGGTGCTCATGCCAGGAGTCCCGGAAGAGCCACCACTGGCGGGGAAGAGAGAGAAGCAGACACGTGTGCGTCCCCTGGTCCTGGGAGAACTCGGAGCTCGGCTCACAGCGGGCGTGAAGGAGGAACTGCACAATGCCACACAAGGGGATGAGCCAGCCTGTGGACCCGGAGGCTCTCGGAGGACTTGGGGTGCACATGGGTCACAGCGGGCTGGGATATGCTAGAGAAGTGTGGGAACCCCGTCTGCGAGGCCCTAGGGTGGCACTCTTTTTGATGGCCCCAAGCCCAGCTACCTGGTTCTATGGGAAAGAATGAGCCCGCATAAGTCAGCCACAGCTGACCATGGTGCACAGGCCTGTTATCCCAGCACTTGGGAGGCTGAGGCATGAGGATCGTTGCAAGTTTGAGACCAGCCTGGGCTACAAAGTGAGCTCAAGGCCAGCCTGAACTGCATAGTGAGACCCTGCCTCAGAAACACAAAAAATAAAAATAAAAAAAATAAAACTGACATGGGTCCGTGAAGACCAGACTGACCCCTGCAGCTGGACACTGCCCCGATCAAAGTGGAAGGAGCTGCACAGTGAGTGCGCGGCCTGGGTGACGCAGCTGCTCCTCACTGGGCATCCGCGTCCCTCCCGCCCCGCCCTGTGCGGAGCTCTGTGTTCTCCTCCCTGGCGCGAGCTCTCCTCCTCCCTCGGGGCCCGAGGTCCAGGCCGGGTGCTGCCGCCCGTCTGCACCCACAGGTCGCTGCGCGGGAAATCGGTAGCTGCGGCCAGGGCAGGCGGGGCTTGGCCCGGAACTGACAGGACACCAGGCATAGGGTGGCGCTGCCCCAGAGGGTGCCATGCAGGTGTCCGGACATCTGCCCTCACCTGGCTCCGGGCACATGCAGGCCGCAGCGTCCACCCTGCCCCTCGCAGGATGAGACAGAGCATGCAGGGAGGTTCAGGTTCAGTATTTCCTTTTCAGCACTGGGGACTAAACCCAGGGCCTCTGCACTGAGCTGTACACTCAGCCCTTTTTTATTTTTATTTTTATTTTTATTTTGAGACAGCGTCTCACTGAGTCGCTGTGTTGCCTAGACTGGGCTGGAACTTGCAACGCTCCTGCCTCAGCCTCCCAGCGTGCTGGGGTGATGGGCGTGCACCATGCAGCCCACCCAGCACATGCTCTCCATTTCCTGAACCCTTTGCAGCCACTCCGTTCAGTTTCCCCCCTTTTCCCTCCTCTGCATCTGTACAGAGCTGCACAGAAAAGGGAGGGCAGGGAGGAGCCAGGGCCCCGGCTGACGTCCAGCAGCTGCCTTCCCTGGGGCAGGGCATGCGCCTGTGCCTCCCTGGCCAGGGACCTCAGACCGGGGAGGCTTCCCCAGCACCCGCGTGGGGCCTGCTGTCCCACCCGGCCGGCGCCCGTCCTGCCAGGGGTGTGTCCGTGCCTGCTCACAGCAGGAGCAAGCCTGCGTGTGACCGAAGTCCCCTGGGTGGCAGGGAAGGCACAGTCCTGGGCGACCCTGCTCCTGCCCAGGCATGGCACTGGGGCCGCTGAGCCCACGGAGCCCTGCCGGGAGGGACACCCTGCCCAGCCCTGTGCCCCATCCTGCCTGCCTCTGCTGCTTCTGGGTCAGGAGAGCTGTCTGCCTCGCTGGTGACGGGAGCACCCATCCTGGAAGAGGCCCCAGGTCCCCTCCACAGCGCGCGCAGCCTGGACCGAGTGGCCAGCACCTTCCCAGAGGCCCGCGCTCAGCACACAGGCTGGCTCCGCCGAGCCACGTTCACGGCTTGTACAGACGAGGACGTGTGCGGTGCGACCCTTTCCGTGATGCTGGGGTGGACGGGGCCTCGGGAAGGAGCGGGGCGCCCTGTCGGGGGCTCCTCACTCATGGGCAGCGTGGGGCGGAGGCAAAGCCTCACGGAGTCTCCTCGCAGCCAAGCGAGGCCTCCACCTGCGAGTCTGGCTGCAGGGCCACCTGCGCCCTGAGCCCGGGGCTGAGAGCACGTGCCGTGCGCTGTGCGGACGGGACAGGGACGACGTGTGCCTGGCCTGAGACTGCAGGGTGGGGACCGCTGGGCGGCAGGAAGAAGGAATGGGGGAGGACGGAAGAGGGGAAGGGCGGGGAAGGCGGGTGGCTGCAGGCGAGGCCCTGCTGGTGGCCGAGCCCGGCGCCCCTTGGCCCACTGTCCCTGCGGTGTCCACGGCGGCTCTGGCTCGGTGCCCCTGGCTGGAGCTCTGTCCCTGCCGCCCACTGCCGCCGGCCCCTCGCCGCCTGCTTACCTTTCTCAGCCTGGCAGCGCCTGAGCCGGAGCGGATGGCATCCAGCAGGGCCTGCCTTGCATCTACCACATCGCCTAGGGGCCCCGAGCCCAGCCCGGGAGCTGCCGGGGGTGCAGGGGGAATCTGGGGGGCCGGTGGGGCTGGAGGCGCTTCAGGAGGCGCTGAGTCCCGGCAGCCCTGGAGCTCCGCAGAAGCTGAAGACGACACCTGGGAAGGAGACGCCGACGTCGGGTGACCACGGTGGCTGGGGCTCAGGGCCTCAAAGTCACCTTGAAATCTACCTGCCGGGTAGGCCTTGGGGAGGGGCCGGGTCAGGACAAGGGGCCCCTAAACGAGATCAGTGCCCCGAGAGACTTGCGGATCCTAGCAGGGGAGGACGGGGAGGTGCTGCCTGGGGACCAGGAAGGGCCTCGCTGGACCCCAAGCCTGCTACCCCGGCCCTGGGCTTCCGGCCTCTGAACCGCAAGGGTTCAAGCCCTCTGCGGCCGCTGTGAGCCTGAGGTGCTGTCACAGCTGCTGGGTGCGCTGGACGGTGACCGTGTCCCTAGAAGCCCTTCCCTAGGGCACAGCCCCCCGCTGCCAGCACGCCCGGCCTCCCGCAGCCCCTGCGCTGTGGGCACGGGACGTCTGTCCCCTCAGGGCTTAGACACCTGTCCCCGGCCGCCACCTCACGGGTCACAGGGCCGCACCGTGCTGGGACTCGGGCCCAGCTTTCCCCAGCCCCGGAGGACGGAATGTCTGGCTGGTTTTGGAGACAGGAGACAGCCAGCGCCACACAGTGAGCAGCAGGTCGCCTTGTCCCTCAGGTCCCAGGGGACCCCGCTGGCCCGGGGCCAGGTCCTCCCCGGACGCTGCGTCAGTGCAAGAGCCAGCGCCTGTCCCCAGGGCCACCTGCCCCCCGGGCCGCTGTGCCAGCAGGTGCGCGGCTGACGACCTTTGCCACCCTCCCAGGACGGCGGAAGTGTCGGCAGCATCTGCCAGCTGCTGGGAGAGGTGGGCGCCCCCTGGCCGCACAACCCAGGAGCCCCTTACCTTCCGCAGGCCTTGGGTGCCACTGTGTCCCCGGATGGCCGCCAGCAGGGCCGAGCGCTCGCTGTCCACCCCCGCATAGGACAGCGTCTGGGGCCCGCGCTCCGCAGGGGGCTCTGCCGTCTGGAAGGTAGTGGGGTTGACTCAGTCCACGCAAAGCACTCCCCGCCTGGCCCCAATGCTCGCCCTGAGCCCAGTTCTCACTGTCCATACAGCAGCCCACAAGGCACGGCGGCCACTGGACACGTCTATCAAGGAGGGTCTGAGGTGATGACTCTGCCCACACGGAAGCCGCATGAGGGCTCTGAGGACAGCGAAGGCAGTGGGCTGGGCCGGGCGTACAAAATGTTCTCTTTCCCCTCTTCTGCCTCTCCTCTTCCTGTTCTTCCTCCTCTTCCTGGTTTTTTTCCTGTAGTACTGGAACAGGACACAGGGTCCTTGCACTGAGCTTGGTCCCCAGCCCTAGTAGAAATTTTTTACTTTGAGACAGGGTTGACCAGACACTACATCATTAGGTTGACCAGACGGCTCAAATTCATGAGCTTCCTGCTTTAGCCTGCCAGACTCCTGGGATAACAGGTGGGCATCACCACACCCAGGAAAACCTGCTTTTGACTGCTGAGGTTTTCCCCTTTCCAGGGTCCCTGGTGTCTAACTGGACAGTGAGCTGGGGAGAGGTGAGGTGCATCAGAGGTCGTTTATTCGGGGTCACACCAGGGCTGCCTGTCGGAGTCAGAGCGCCCTGCCCTGGCCCGCTGCCCCGCACTGTGTGTGCTGCAGTCCTGCAGACCTGGGTGAGCGTCCTGCGTCCCTGCTGTTATGGGTGACTTTGGGCCAGGCCACTTGGCCTCGCTGTGCCTTAGTTTCCACATCCCGATGATGCTGGTTTAGCAGCGAGAGTTCTGCCGTGTTGCACGCCTGTGCGTGGACAGGGAGCATCACAGCCTCGTCCCTGGTCGCTGCAGAGGTGCAGGGCTCCCCACTGAAGAGTCAGGAGCCGCAGCACTGGGTTGTAATCCTGGGCCACACGGGGACGGGGTCCCCTGAGACCGCAGTGAGGCTGAGCGACTCCTGTCATCCGGGGACAGCGCCCTCCTCCTGAAGCACAGTGGCTACGCCTTCCCTACACGTCCGGGGACCTCGGGGTGGGCAGACCCCAGCTGCGGACCCGCAGAGGCGCAGCACAGACCGAGACCCCAGCTCGAGGCTCTCGGGAAGGAGCCAGCGCTGCTGGCTTCGTGTCCAGTGCCCCGCGCTCCCCAGGGTGGCGTGGGAGGGAGTCTCCGTTACCACAGAGAGGTCACCGTTCAGCAAGGCCTCCCGTCCACTCCACCTCTAGGTCCCAGGGGGCACAGTCTCGGTGGCCAGTGCCGTGACGGCGTGGCTGGCGTGTGGTCCCCACTGCACGGCCTCCCATGACTGCGTGGGGAGCCCCCCTTTTCCACTTCCTGTCTGCAACATGCTGCCCTTTGGATCTCAGATGTCCCACAGGCCCGAGTGCTGAAAGCTCGGTCCTCGGCTTGGTGTCATGGGGGGCTCTCCAGGAGGCAGGCCCAGCAGGAGGTCATGGGATAGTGACCTTGAAGGACAGTGGGGAGCTGGTCTCCCCCTCTTTCTGCTTCCTGGCCATGGGGGTGCTGGCCTGACCACCAGCTCCCACCGTGTGCCCCTCGCCACCGGCCTAGCGGGAATGAGCTGAAACCTCCGAGTGCGACCTAAGAAACCTTTCCTCTTGGGCTGGCCAGCTCAGGCGCTCTGTTACAATACGGAAAGCTGACCAGCACACCTCCACGTGTACTGCATCAGCCTCCATCCTCAGCCCTTGGCCAGGGCATTTACTGCCTGACAAGCAATCTTCTTCTTTCCCACAGAGCAGCTGCAGCCGAACAAGTCGAGACCCACCCACCCCGGCCTCGCTGGTACAAGGTCCAGGACGGATTCCAGTTACACAGGAAGCCTGGCATGGGCCCTGGCCACCACACCCCTCCTGTCACCTCCAGCCCGGAGTGCGGGGTCGAGGATCCCCAGGCCGCCCCACTCACCTTGCGGAGCCTGTCCTTCCCGCCGGCCGAGTGGATGGCCTCCATCAGGGCGCTGTGCAGGCATGTGTCCTTCGGCACTGGCCTCTGGACCACAGGCCTGAATTTCTTCTTTGGCCCAAAAATGCTGGCTGGGAGAGCGCCCTCTGTTTCACTCGCAGCCTCGGGGGACGCCCTGGGCCTGTCCTCCGTTTCCAGGATGATGTGGCTGTGGGTGCCAGACCCCCATGGGCAGCGAGGAGGCTCCGGGTCCCAGGCAGAGCCATTGGCCAGCATTTTGCTGGGCGTCGGCACATCTGCTGGGTGTGCGGGGCTGAGCTGCGCCCCGTCCCGGTTGTGCGTGGGGTGGGAGGCCAAGCTGGCCTTTAGGTCTCGGGAACCGGACTTCTCCGGGGGGCCATGGCTCCATCTTGCAGACACGGGCTCCCTCCAGGAAGTAGGGCTTGGCAGGGAGCAGAACTCTCTTTGGACGGCAGCAGGGCCGTCCTTGTCCCCGGCCAGCGGTATCCTCTGTGGGCTGCTGGCTGCCCTGCCAGGCTGGGCACTGCTGGGCCCACGGGTGCCCAGCTGCCGTGTGTCGTGGTTCTGTGGCTCAGAGGCCCGGCCAGGAGCTGTGGCACCTCTGATGACGAGGGTCTGTGCCGGTGACCCTGGACTCCGGGCCTCGGGCCCCTTCTCCGAGTGACTGCGCTGCCTCGCTGCGTTGGCTGGGGCCGGCACGGATCCTATCCGCCGGGCGATGGCCGAGGCCACGTGCTGGCTGGAGGTCCTTCTGTGAGGCTTGAGGAACGGGACCTCTGCCACGCTCGCCCCCTGCGCTTTCTCCTGACCCGAGGCTGTCCAGGGCGGTCGGTGCCCATGGTCCTCCAGCAGAAGCCCACGTGCTTGGGGGGCAGCCCGCTGCTGTGGCGGGCTGGGCGCGGGGGCCGCGGGGACAGTGCTGTCCTGCGCTGGCTTTGCAGGCACTGGGGTGGGGGTGGTCGTGGTGACAGCGGTGGCCTTGGGGGTCCCCCTGGCTGCCGAGTGCCCCGAAGGCTGGCTTGGGGGCTTCTCCAGGGACCCGCGCTTCCAGAACTCCTTCACTTTCCCGAGGGGCTGAGCCTGGGTGTCAACCCCGGGGGAGGAGGGCGCGAGCTCGGCCCCGCTGCCAGGCCTGCCACCAGCCCCCGGGGGACTCACCAGGTTCCCCAGCTCGTCGATCTTGATGGCGCCCGTGGTCAGGGACACGCCGCGGTCGTAACACCGCATCTCTGACCTGGGAGGAACGATCTTGTACGTGGTGAGGCCGTGCTTCAGTCCATAGCTTTCTACTGCGGGGCGGCTCCACCGGCACCAGGACGGGGGCCCCGGGATGCCGCTTGGCTCGCCGGCCTCCGTGTCCTCCGCTCTCCGTGAGGGCTGAGTCCTCTCTCCAGGAGCAGAGCGGGGCGCGAGGCCTGGCTCCTGCACACTCGGGACGGCTGTGGGAAGCTTCACGGCCAGGGAGGCCACCTTGGGCGCCATCCCAGCCGCCCTCCTGTCCTGGTCTCCTGGGCTGGGGTCGTGGGGAGGGCTCCACCTCCCGCGGGGCTGGTCCTGCTCAGCGTCACATGTGGGCAGGCAGGGGCCCCTGCTGGGGACACCCACCGTGTTGGATGAGCCTGCGTTGTTGTTGCTGTTGGACGACAGCCCCGCGTCCACGGGGTCGTCTGAAACCTCGCCGATGAAGGTCACCGGGATTGCGTCCGCGTCCCCGACCGCGCCGTCAGCACAGTGGTTCCACGCACCGTTCACAGAGTGGGTCACAGAGCTGCAGTCTGTGTCACAGCTGTCCTCCATCTCTGCAAGGGACGAGCACAAGTCACTGAGCGGCACTGCGTGTGTGATTCTCACCCTCAGGACAGCGAGCCTGGCCCCGCCCTGGGCCACCTGTCCTGTCCACGACCGGGCACCTGGGACAGGGAGGCTTCAGGTTCTGGTGATCTGTGGCTCCCCGGGACCCGAGCCCCAGCTTTCAGTAGGCAACCTGGGGCCCGTCTGCAGACCAGTGTGGCCCCAGGGCTTGACCCTTCGCCTTCCCTGCGTCTGGGAGAAGAGCACGGCTCCTTTGTCTGAAACACTGCCCACCTGTTTACAGAGATTATCTGTGTCTGCCCTGGCCTTACAGCGCAAGGCTATCACCGCCAAAGCAAGAGACTCTGTTGCTCAGGGTGCTATGTAAATGGATTTACTGCAGACAAGAAGTGTGTGTCCGCTTGAGGGAGGCACCATACACTAGCAAGTGAAGAGCTGCAAGTCCTCATAAAGATAGTTGCTTAAAGTCAGGCATGGTAGTGCACTTGGGAGGCTGAGGCAGGAGGGTCAAGACTCCAAGACCAGCCTGAACTACATAAGACCTTATATCAAAAAATAAAAATAAAGAGACACTGCTTATCTCTGTGCCATTCTGTACTTCTTTAACACATCTGGACATTCTAGCGCACTCTGTGATATGCGTGAAATTCTTTTTAAGGTACAGAGTTAGTATTTTGAACTGGGGGCCTTCACACTGAGCTACATCCCCAACATTCTTTATTGTTCATTTTGAGACAGGGTCTTACTCAGTTGCCAAGTTGCCCAGGTTGGGCTCAAACTTGATCTTCCTGCCTCAGCTTCCCAGAGTGCTGTGACTGCAGGGCCTGCAGTTATATAAAAGAGTGCTCAGAGAGGGGCCCCGGCGCATCAACGCCCACATCGCGCTGCGACAGCACACAGCAAGTCTGCTCACCATCCCAGTCTCCGAAGGGCGCTGCCAGGGCTCCGTGGGACAGGTCCTCCTCCGTGGAGGTCGCGGCGGCCTTCTCCCTTCTAGGGGAAACCAAGCAGTCAGGAAGAGCGCTCACTGATGCCGCGCACACTGACTCAGTGAGCCGCTCTCCGGCAGTGTCTGGGAAGGAGACAGCTCAGGTTCACCACGCTCAGCAGGACTCGTCCTCAGGACCTCGGGGAGAGTGTGTGCCTGAGCGTGCCATGTGCGTGTGTACTGTGTGTGTGAAATCTCATGTTTACTGTGACTTCAGGAGCAAGCCAGAAGCCTCACGGTGCCACAGCCACTGAGTGAGGTGGGTCAGTTGCGTTTTTATTTGGCAGAAACTGCCGTGAACACTTTGAACTGATGCAGGACACCGAGGCACCCCAAAAGACCCTCACAAAAGAGGGCTCCAGAGCTGCTTCAGAAAGTGGCAAGAATGATGGGGTGAGCATGTTCAAAGTGCGGGGAGGGGTTGGGGGCTTGACGGCAATGTGCCTTTTGCCGTGATAAATTTCTTTTAAAATGTAAACGTTTGCCTTCTGTTTCGATCATACCCCATACATGACGTGTGAGATGTGTGCACACGTGGGTGCGTGTTATACGTGGCATGAGTGCTGTGTACGTGATATATGTTGTGTGTGTGGAGTGTGTACACGTGGCCCCAAAGTGTCAGCCACACCACACACACAGCTTCGGTCCAGCTTGCACATGGAGGGCTGCCTCCTCCTGCTGCCCAGTGGGATTGATTTCTTTTCTGGGTTGTAAAGCACCAGGCACCTGGTGGCCGCAGAGAGGCACCTGGAGCCCAGGCTGCACACGTACATGGTGGCCAGGTCACCCCGGGGCCTGCAGTCAGTGTCCCTCAAGACCCGACGGCGTAGGCTGCAGGCTGGGAGAACAGATCAGTGTGTGATCACTGCCCAAGGGCTCCTGATCACCACCACTGGCTCCCGCTTGCAGCTGCAGCAGGCTGCACCTTGGGGGACCTGTGGGGTTCAGAACAGGGGCGGGGTCCACAGCTCGTCCACAGCGTGTCCTTGTGGACGAGCATCTTTGAGGTGTGTGTCCTGGGTTAATTCCTGCACAGGGCCTCTGGGATCTGATCCCGCCTCCTGAAGATGTGGGCCCCGACCCACTTCCCTGGGAACATAAAGACAACGAGGGAGCTGGCAGCAACTAGGAGACAGAGATGCTGTGACAGCGAGGATGCCACTCAGTGGAGCCCGCAGGAGGAAGCCTGCAGACACGGCCTGCCTGCCTCTGTGCCTGCCCAAGCAGAGCTCTTGCGTACAGAGCGTCTTGTCACACTCCTCTAGCCGCTCGCAGGGTGGGTCATCGGAGCACTGCGGAGACGGGAAATTACACACAGAGAGACCAACAGTCCTCTGCAAGCTCCTACAGCGTCCAGAGCCAGCCCTTGCCCCAAGTCTGCGCAGGGCCGCGCTTGCCAGCCAGGTGGCCTAGTCTCCTTGGTGGCCAGGGGCCCCTGTGGCCCTGGGGCATGGGGTGTCCTGGGAGACAGCAGCCACTCCCCAGAGAGCTGGCTCAGACTGTACGTGTGCCCCAGGACAATGCCATCTGCACAACTGCCACCAAAACACTTGAAAGCTGTGTCTGCGAGGGCTCCCGCCGCGCTTTCCTGTCGGGCAGGGCGCACGGCGCTGCGTCTCCAGTGATTCTGGCTCTACTGAGAGCCGAAGTCTTGGCTGATTGTTAAAACGGAGGACTGATGTCCACTGCTGGTCGCCAGGCCCAGGCAACGCTGCGGGACTGTGGGAGTCAAAGGCCCTTTGATGCAGGGCCGTCTTTACTTGGATAAAAGCGTCTTTCTCTCTTAGGGACCATGTCCACTGGGAGCCAGGAAGTGGCCCCAGGACCCGTCCCCGCTAGCGTCCGGCGACAGCCCGGACAAGGGCTGGCTGAGGGTGTGTGCATGTGGTCCAGTGGCTGGGGACCTCGGCGTGCACAATGGCCCTCCTGGCCACTCTGCCCTTGGACTCGAATGATTTGAACGCATCTTGCAGACGCCTTTCCTTTCCATGGAATGTGGTGGTATAAATACTTTACACTTAAATATGTAACAAAACGTATGGCACAGGAAACTATAGAAATTGAAAGACAAAATAGTACTTGAGATGGAAAGCAGAGAACTTTAGAAAATGTTTCTCCTTACTACTGGACGCTTAAAGCCCAGCCATACAAAATTAGACACTTTTACTTCTGAGTATTTGTCTTCTTTCAAAAGATGCTGATCACACTGTTCTAGGTGCTGGAAAGAAACATGAATTGGATCTCTGTCGTGGCTGTCTCCAGAGGACCCCCAAAGCCTCACGAGGTCCTAAGTGGGACTGTTTCGAGGGCCCAGAGTGTGTGATGCTGCGCTCAAGGGTGTGAGCGCTACCTGCCCTAGGATGGGGGCTTTGATAAGGTATAAGGAACAGAAAGGGGAGTGCTGTGTCGCTGCCTGCTGCTGTTGGGTGGTTTGCTTGCTTTTGCTGTCTTCTGCCTGCCACAGCTCTTTCTCCCCTGCGAGGCCCTCCGCCACGTCACCCTGCCCTGGAGCCAGCTGACTATGGATGGAAACCTCTACAAACTGCGAGCTAAATACACCTCACCTCCCTTAACTCTCAGTGTTGGGTGTTTCGTCTCAGCAATGAGGACAGTCACTCAGACAAACTCAAAAGAGATTTAAGATGCAAGTTCCACTGACTGTGCAAAGGTTTCACTAGAAGTAAAACAAAACAAGAAGAAGTTACGCTGAACTGAAGGAGGCAGTGACTTAGAACACAGTTGCTGCGGACTTGAACTAGAAAGCAGGGCGGAAACACTGGTCCAGGACAAACAGACATCACTGTGTCTCTGTCAGCAACTCTGATGCCTCCGCCTCTATTTCAGTTGCTTATCCAATGAGAGGAAAAATATAAACATAACAGCCTTCATTTTCTACATGAAGACGCTCAAGCCCTGGCAGTGGGAACAAATGTCAAAATCAATGCAGATATGTGTGAAGTGCTTCATATCAATAACTATGATGATCACGAAGTGTACACAGAAGGGCGGACTGATGCCTCATCTGACATGAAGATATGTGAAGTTTCTAAGTCATGTATAAGTTATCTGAAGATATCAAGTCATGTAACTATAGGTCAGATAATTATGATGACATAAAAACACGCAGCACTCTGGGAGGCTGAGGCAGGAGGATTGCAAAGTTGGTGCCCAGCCCGGGCAATTTAGTGACTTAATGAGAACTTGTTTCAAAATAAAAAATATCTTGAGACCATAATGGTAAGAGAAATATCAGACACGGGGGTTAAATATCACACGGTCTTTTATATGAGAAACACCAAGTGTAAGTAATTTAAAGAGCAAAATAAGAAAGGAATGATAGGAAACAGGGTGGGACCTTTTGTGGCTGGGAGGGGACCAGGGCAGTGGAGGAAGGGGCAACAGGGACTGGGGTGTGACAGGTACAGGCGCCAGCTCCCCCCGCGAGTGTATTCACCACGTACTGCAAATACGCACTAACAAAACTTAAAAAAAATAAAATAAGGGGCTGGCAATGGAGCTCATTGCGAATGCCCTGGATTCAATCCGCAATGCTGCTTAGAAGGGAGAAGGAAAAGAAACAGAGCTTGTGGCAAATAAACCCGCGTGACTTACTGAGGACAAAGTCAGCGCACTGAGCGGACGGCGGTGCTCGGGACACCGGGACACCCTCTGGTACCTCTCACACCCTGCAGCCAGCGCCCTCCTGCTCTCTCCCCCACAGAGCCGCGTGGCTGTCCCCGTGCCCGCTGTCCCCGAGTGTGGCCTCTGCCCTGCCGTGCCCTGTGCTGCGTCCTCCCCTCTGCCTGCCTCGCTTGGGCTGGCAAGCTGCCCCTGATGCTGTCACCTGCACCCGGGTGCCGTGGGCACAGCCTGGTCCGCCGCGGCCTTCGTCCTGGATCTGGCTGCGGCGTGGCCGGGCGCTGGAGGGAGGGCAGCGGGCCCTGCGCAGCGGGCAGCTCTTATGGAGGCACAGCCTGGGTGCCCGTGCGCTGCCCTGTCCTGCTGCACGCACACGGGGGTCACGGAGCCAGAGCCCATGCGCCGCGCCTGTCTGCTCTGCTCCCAGCAGAAGGTACGGAGAGGGTGGGAGCTGTGACCTTCGCACGCTTCCTCACTCTGTGCCACTGTCCTCTTTGCAAAGCTCACTGGGTCTCACCCAACCCCCTCTCAAAGGCACCTGAATGGCACACGCAGCTCCCAGCTGGCGAGGGGACCCTGCACCCCAGAGTCTGAAGCTCCCCCATTAACCCACGCAGACCCCCCCCCTCTGTCCCCGGCCCCCTCTCCCGTCCATGCCTGTGCTTTGTGTTGCGGCCCAAGACCCAGAAGACAGCAGGGAAACAGACCGGGTACTGTTTTGCCCGCTGTTTCCTCAGCGGCGGCGTGGCTCGAGGGAGAAGGTGACGCTGCTCGGGGCCCGCTGCACAGCCGTGGGGGCGGACGGCACTGGGTCTCAGGCCTCGGTGCCCAGCAGCGCAGCTGCTGCCTCAGGCCACCCCCTTGGGAACTCCGAGGGCCCAGGCTGGAGTGACGCTCCCCACCCAGCTCAGGGGATCAGGCCCTCCCACCCTGCGCTCGGTAGGAGGCAGGCAGGGAGGGTTCTTCCAGTCAGGGCCTGGAGAGCTTTGGCTTTTTGTTTTCATTTGCTAAGAGAAAGAAAAGGGGGAACCGTGTGGGTCCAACTCATCTGAAATGTACAGAACCTATGTGCTACGCACATTAGGTCGTGCCGGATTTTTATGTAGCTAAAGGAGTCTCTTATTGGGTATGATGGCACACGCCTATAGTCCCAGCATTCAGGAGGCTGAGGCAGGAGGATCACAGTGAGTTCGAGGCCAGCCTGAATGACATAGCAAGAGTCTATCTCAAAAAAGTTTCTTGAAGGAATGTATACAGTGGCAGAGTTAATGAAAAAGGACGTCTGAGAGGGAGGTGATGCTACTAAGCAGGCCTACCCCGGTGGTTTCACAATCATGTCAGGAGTGACGCGATACACTCATCAGTCACGTCCCCATTCCCGGGGTGTGCGCTCCTGAACTGGCAGGGCGACACACCTCTAGCACAGTGGCATTCAATGCAATAGAAGACACACAATTTAAAATCTTGTCACATTTAAAAAGTGAAATGAACAGGTAAAATTAGTGTTAAACATTTTACTTTTAACTACTCCTGCATATAGTTAGTTCACCTACATGTTTTCTCTTCACGGCAGATTTGGTGTGTTTTTACACTTCCAACACATCTCAGCTGGCGCAGCCACCCGGAAAGTGCTCAGAAGCCGCGGGGGGGCTGGCGGAGTCCTGGGCAGCCCTGGCAGAGTCCTCTGGGGAAGCTTACAAAGTCTCAGGGGTCTAGACCCGCACTTCTAATGCGGCCAGGGCTCAGCCTCCCGGGGATTACAAAGCTGCAGGGTCAGGTGGAGAAAACGTTGCTAAATGCTCAGAATGAGTCAGGGTGATGGCCATTTGCAGAGCTTCGGGTATCACAAGGTTCCCAGCTCCCCGGAGAGCCAGTGAGCCGGCAGGCCCGGCTCCAGAGGGGGAGGGACGAAGTGCAGGGCCGAAGCCCCACCCTGTCTCACCACCCAATCTGAGCCTCCTAAGGCTGAGGTGAAGGGAGGCCAGAGCCCAGCAGGAGGTGGCAGAGGCGCAGGCAGTGGGGGTGTGGAGAGCCTGGGGTCTCCAGGCAGAGGGCGGGGCCCGGGGATGCTGCAGCGCAGTCTGGGGCTCTCCCTGGGGTTTCCTTTTGGCTGCCTGAAGGAGGAGACAGAAGCGGGGCGAGAAGCCGGGGAAGGAAGAGGAGGCGGAGGAGCGGTTGGACATCCGCTCACACCCTCAGGCTCCAGCCCCTCCCTCGGGCCCTGCGGAACTGACACAGCTGGAGCTCAGAGTCCACAAAACGACGCTCGGGAAAGAGCGCCCCAGAGCTGCTTCCGAAAACGGTAAGAGCGAGGGGACAAGCGTGTGTGAAGTGAGGAGGGGCTTGGGGGGATTCGTGGCAGTGTGCTTCTCACGGCAATATTTTAAAAAAGGTAAGCATTCCCCGCATTTTCAATCACCGCCTGTAGCTGCATCATGCGTAGGGAAGAGGGAAAGGGACGCAGCCCGGGAAAGGGGAGCGGCGCGAACTGGGCCTGCCCAGCTGGGCCTCAGAACCCCGCTGACAGGCGGCAGCAGAGGCCCCAGGTGGCCGGGCTGGGATGCGCGGGCAGCCTTCTTCTCCTGGAGGCCGCCCCACATCGGGGCCTTCCACAAGCCGAGGGTGGCTGTCATCGTCGCAGAGTCCTCCTAAGGTACGAACCCACTCCTGGCCGAGACCGGGCCTGGGGATCCTTCGAAGGGCGGGCCCTGCGCCGTGGGCCTGAGTCCCCTCAGGGACAGGGACGAGCCTTCCACTCGCAGCAGGGTCTTGGCCCGTTACTGGGGCACAGGACGAACACACGCGGGAGAACACGCAGGGCACCCTGGGATTCGCTGCAGAAACTAAGTATCCACTCTTCAGGACAGAGCGGACGGTGGGCTTGGCCGAACCCCTGGGGAGCATCCGGGCGCAGTGAGAGCTAAGTCAGGCCTGACCAGCGGCTGCACCGTCCCCCCAGGAGGCTGCTTTGTCAGGATCGCCCTCCTATCAGGGCACCTTGGTCACTGTCCTCGACAGGACGGCCCAGTGCTTCTGTCCAGGTGGCCAGGATGACAGTCACGCCCTCCTGAGTAGCAGGAGAGCCTGCTTCCTGCATGGTCCTCAGGCATGGGCCCTGATACTCCCGGCGGGGCGGCAGGGCCAGCGCACTCCTCCGTGCCGCCTGCCCACCCCCGGCCTGGGCCCGCCCCACCCAAAGGACTTCTGTCCTTTCCCGCTGGACTGGGCACTCTGCAGGTGGGAGCAGCGAGCTCCCCAGAAGGGCACCATCCCCAGCGGAAGAGAAGCGCTCTCCCCACCCCCACACGGGGCGTCTGGCCCCCGCCCTGTGGCAGCAGACGACACAGAGTGGCTTTTCCCAAAGAAAGTGAAGAGGGCACTCGTGAGAAGGCCTGTGGAGAGGACTTCGCCTGTGGAATTTCCAAGGGCCCCAGTGAGCTCACCAGGCTAAGAGGAGCGCGTGGTGCCGTCCCAAACGCATTCCTGAGCAGACGGTTTCTGAGCAACACAGCATTCCACAGAGCAGTGGGGGAGAACACGCAGGGAGAACACGCAGGGCACCCTGGGATTTGCTGCAGAAACTAAGTATCCACTCTTCAGGACAGAGCGGACGGTGGGCTTGGCCGCACCCCTGGGGAGCATCCGGGCGCAGTGAGAGCTAAGTTCAGGCTCGACCCTGAGCCCCGAGCGGGCACCGCCGGGAGCTGCCACGCCCGGCCTGCTTGTGCGTCCGCCCCAATGCTTGAGTTGCCTGCCCACCTGGAAAATCTGGGAGACATCATGTAACACTGTATGTCTGGTTTCTCAAAAACAAGCCACATGAAAGCTGGGCATGGGGGCACAGGCCTACAGTCTCTACACTCTGGAAGGCTGAGGCAGGAGGATTGCAAGTTCAAAGCAGCATAGGCAACTTAATGACTTAGTGAGACCCTGTCTCAAAAACACAAAACAAAAACAAACACAAAAAGGTGCACATGAGGTCTGAGGGCCCTGCAAAGTGGCGACTGGGGAAGGGGGAGGGCGGGTCTCGTTCGGAGAAGGCCCGAGCCTTCCTCCCGACCCAGGGGCCTCTCCTTTCCTGCTGAGTCTCAGTTACCCTCTGGCCAGCCCAGAGCCCTCAGGTCTGCAACCTCCAACCTGGACCCTCGAGCCACTGCCCGGAAGAAATCCTGCAATGCGCCAGAAATCACGCATTTGAGAATAAATGCACCACTGTAATGCTGAGGCCTCTGAGTATGTCTGATTTTCCCACTGCAATCACTCCTTAAAATAAACCAACTTAAAATCCCCCAAAACTAACGTTTTTCATTTCATGAAAGTCATGGGCCGCGGCCTGACCTCTGCTTTTGGTCACAATTCAGTGCCTCAGCCCCGCAAAGGCCACTCGGCCCGCTTCGGCTGCTGGGACCCGAGGTCTGTCTTCCAGGTTCTGAGAGCCCCTCTCCCTCCAGGCCTCTGCCAAATTCGGGGCACTCAGAGCCGCAGGCAGAAAAGCAGCCCTACTCCCTGTCTGGATAAAGCATCGGAGTCCGAACAGTCACTCACCAGCCGCAGCTGCAGACAGCATTTGCTCCCCTGTGTGGATGGAAATCCCAACTCTACACCCAGCGTCCGCAAGGTGATCCCGGGCCAGTGTCCACGTCTGATCAGCTCTGGATTGAGCCCAGGCATATGTGACCCCATCAAACACGCAGAACAGCCCGGGGGCTTGGCGGAAGGAGATTTTCCTTCCTGGTACATGACGAACAGAAAGTGACCTCGTCTTTATCTGCTCTCATGGCTGCAGGGGACACAGCTCAGCTCTGCTAAAACCTGAGGGCAGGGACCCAAGCTGCCTGACTTCCTTCTGGTGAGTCCCACACTTGGCCTTAGGACTGACAGTCCTTGACGGGAGACTCATTCGTACAATTATCAGGGAGTGTGTATAACAACACGGCACTGTCAGGCAAAAGTAAATCAGGACAAAATACAATGGGAGAGATCATGACATTAATCAGATGCAGATCTGTGACCTTGTTCAGATAAAGATTTGTGTGTTCCCGTGGACAGGGTCAAAACAGCATGAAAAGTACAAAAGCGCTTATTAATTTTGGTGATTGACTTATGAACTTTAAAAAATCATTTTACCTTATTTCTATGAATGCTTCCACAATATTGTTTATCTGATGTGTTTCTCCACCTGTGATACCAGGGGCGGGGCCCCAGGCCTTCATGCTGAGCTATAGTCCTGGCTCTTTTCTTGCTTTTTATTTTGCAGGGTTTGCTAAGTCCCCAAAGTTTCCCAGACTGGGTTCAAACTTGTGACCCTCCTGCCTCAGCCCCTCAGAGTGCTGGGGTCGCAGGTGTGCACCGCCACACCCAGCTCTCATTGCTTCTGGAAGTTATTTAAACATTGACAGCCTAAAGAGAAGGAATGCGCCTTTTTATAGAAAATGTAAAAAAAAGAAAAACACTGAGGACAACGCAGGTGTCTCAGAGGAGAAGAAATAAACAAGTCCAGTGCAAGTGACCACTGGAAGTGACCAAGACCCACAGAGCCTGACGTCAGGCCAGGGGGAGGGGACAGAGCTCTTATTCACACTGCACCCTAAAATACACCCCCGGGGGAAGAGTGCGCCAGCGAGCGGAGGACAACACCGAACCCTTTACAAGAACTTTAGATCCTCCATTAAGGCCACGGGAAGAATCTCAGATGCACACGGATCGTACACATGGCGGAGACACAGGACACCTTCAATGACGTCCACATGGAAAGCCCATTATTATACAGTGAAAAACAAAGGTAAGTTCAGGTCACGGGCTTAGACTGTGTGCACATAACTGACAAAGGAGAAATTAATTATTTAAAAAAGGTGAACCACATACACTTTTTAAAATGGCCAAAAGCTACAGAAAAGGTAATTCATGAAAGAAGAAATCCAGGCTATTAGTAAACAGGCACGATGACCACCCTTGCTAATCAGAGGGTCGTAAGTTAAAGCCGCACGAGATGCATTTGACACCTCTCGGAGCTAGGATGTCTGTTGGCTCAAGGGTTGGTGCAGATGTGGGACAACAGATGCCCCAGGCCACCGAGGTATCTTTAAGGTGGACAAACCTTTTGGGGAGCAAATCGCTGACATTCCATAAAGTGGGAGATGACTCTTTCTGATGCTCTAATAATTTCTCTTCGAGAAAACTCTCTATGTGTACACAGACCTACGTCCAACTTCCTGATAGTTTCCAGTCCTGAAAAACTGGACCAACCTATGTGTTCATTAGTAGGGAAATGCGTAAGCAAATGAACACCACCTATAATCACGGATAAGTCCTGAAAACATGCTGTAGACAGAAAGGTGTGCCGAGCCTGGTACCATCTGCCATCTGTGTTCAGTGCCAAGACAAACGTGGCACAGTTGTACATTATTTAATCACCTAGGCATCTAGGACGCAAGGAGATTTGACTGTAGATAACCCAAAAATCAGGGTGTGGGCACTGCGCTCCAACGTGAGCAGACAGTAATTGGGTCACCCTGACGCAGGACCCTCCTTAGAGCCTGGGCTGGGGCTCCCATCCCACCAGTCACGACTCACCTCAGACACGAGTTCCCAGAGCCAGGTCTCTCCCACAAGGGGCTCTTCTGGGGTCCGAGTTCCGGGGTTCCAGCAAGGTCCTGGTCGCTGCAGTCTTCCTGGTCTGTGGCCCACTTATCTTTGGATTTCAAGCTATCGTGCTGGGAGTCCAGGGACACGATGTCGGACGGGGAGCTTATCACCCCCGAGTCCTCCGTCGTGTCCTCGGATGCGAAGCAGCTGCCCACAGAGACGGTCTCCTCGGCCTCAGAGGGCACCGCCGGGACGCCGTCCACACTGCCGTGGCTGTCAGGACTCAGGGGCAGGCTCACTGGACAGGACACAGCAAGGACAGGTGAGCTCAGGCCACGCCCGCCCCCAGCCACCTCCCCAAGCGCATTCCACCAGACTGGCTCCTCTGGAATGTGGACGGCAGGGCGCTCCCCGCACACACAGGGACCCAGTCTCCAGGACAAGGGCTTCACCCAGGGAGCCACATGCGCCTCTGCTGCTGCAAGCTAAGCTGTCGCTGAGACTCAGCGTGTGATCAGCTGGTCCTGTGACTGTGTGTCCCTTCCTTATGAGACAGGCAAACATGCTCAACGTGTGATCGAACATGATGAATACGACTGTTCTGTCTGAAGGGGTCACCTTGGTTTCACTGAAGTTGTTTTAAAATAAGTCCTTTTGGACCAGGGATGTAGCTCAGGGGCACAGCACCCACCTGACAAGGGCAAGGTCCTGAGTTCGATTCCTGGTACCGGAAAAAAAAGCCTAAAATAAACCTTTTTGTTAGCTGGCTGTGGTGGTATGTGGCTGCAATCCCAGCACTCTGGCAGGAGCGATGCAAGTCTGAGCCCAAACTGGGCAGCTTAAGGACCCATCAAAGACCCTTTTTAAAAATGAAAAGTTAAAAGGTCTGGGCTGTAGCTTAGTATAAAGGTCCTGAGTTCAAGTCCCAGGATCCACAAATGTTCTTTTTAAAAAAATAACGAAAAATTAGGGTTCTTAAAAAGATAAAGAAATCTAGAGGTAATCCTGGTGTGGGAACTTCTGACAAACTGCACTGCTGTGTGGGAAATGTGCACGCCGCCTCTCAGTACTTGGCTCACCCCAGTGCTCTATGTGAGGCCGTAGATTTGGACGTAAATAAGAGCTGGCCTTAGAAAGAGAACCGTCTGGTAAAACACAGAAGCTGTCTGTCTGTGGCTGAGGGTCTCCAGCCCCTCAGGCACTAAGTGGGATTTGAAGAGCAGAAGCAAGAAAGGGCCAGGGCCGTAACTTCACTGCTAACATCAGAGACGCACACCCACTTGTACCCGACTGGGGCACGGTGGACGTCTGCACACCTCTCCCGAGAGACATGCTACCCAGGGAGGGCACGGTCAGCCTTGCAGGGTGCAGGGTCCCTGAAATCGCAGGGCTCACACCAATGGCACCATGACCCCCCACAACAGTTGGTGTCACCCACTTTCCACCCAGACAGCAGACAGACAGCACGGCACGAACAAAACCAAGAGAAACCCTCACGCTCCGGCTTGCACGAGATCCCCAACAATGACCACGAGGACAAGCATTTGAAAGAACGCACAATTCACAAGAGAGCTCAGAGGAGGGGGAGGCGGGCGCAGGAGCTGTGGGACATGCGAAGTGCAGTGAGCCGTCCCAGGGCGAGCCTTGCCTGCTGTCACAGCCCGAGTGCTGAGGTCACCCAAGCTGAGCAGTTTCTAACGTTTCTGTCCTCGTTTCCTGTGGACGGTGCGACGGCATGAAAAGGATGACATGCCTCGCAGGTCCCAGGGACCGGGGTTCAGATCCCAGTGAGCTGTTTCCTGCTCAAGACTGGACAGTGCAGTGACCACGCTGAGACCTGGGGCTGTGCTCAGGGCTGCAGCTCCTTGTCCAGTGGCTGCGGGAGGGGCAGGCCATGCACTCAAGGCTGAGACGAGATTTTCCACCCCGACAAGCTGGGTTGGCCAGTCAGGCCGCCGCGAGGAGGGGACAGACACGCACTCAAGAATGGCCACGCTGCTGCAAAGACACGTCTGGCAGGCGGGCAGGCTGGTCTGAGGAGGGGGTGTGTGCCGGAGGTGACACACAAATGCCAGTCCAGTTTGCTCGCAGTCCCACCTCTCCAGGGGATGTCCCTGGGATGTGCCGCCTTCCTCCCATCGGTGCCCAGCGAGGCAGGGGCTACAGCCCTGGTGGAGCGTCCTCCCAGCCCCCACCCCGCTCAAGGGCCCCAGAGGGATGGGGTGCAGTGAGGCGGAGGTGGGTGGGGAGGCTGGGGTGGCCAGCCACCTCCCCGTTCTCCCTCCAGCTGTGCAGTCGTGGAGCTCATCTGGGGGTTGGAGATCCCTCAGAAGTTCTGAGGCGAACAACGGGCCAACTGCAACAGCAAGCCCTTAAATCAGCATGTTGTGAGAGGCTGAGCATAGTGTGACTGAAAAACACTGCGAATCTGTAAGTTTTTAAATACTTATTACAGCGAAAGACACGCTGCCAGGGATCCTCCTCCATGGGCTCCATGGACACACCTACCCCATCCTGGCCGCTTTCTGCAGCAGCTCTGGCGTCCTCCTTCCTGAGGGTCTTTAGTTGCGCTGTGCTGGCTGCCAGGGTGTCCTGAACGGACCCAAAACGTTTCCCTTGCATGGCCATGTTGACTTTGGGGAACAGCCAACAGGGCAACTGAAGGCACTCAGGGAAGAGGACTCCAGAGCTGCTCAGAAAGTGGCCAGGACCATGGGACGAGTGTGTTCCAAGTGAGGGGGATTTTGAGGGGGATTCATGGTAACGTGGCTTTTACCGTAATAAGTTTTAAAATTTTAGTCTAAAAAACTCAGTGCACGTTTGCAGTATATAATGTTCACATCCCTCATGGGGAGCTGGTTCCCATACACAGGGCACCATTACTCTTTCTGCAGCTCTTTCTCCACATTTAAACACTCTCTGTACTGTTCAGTCCCTCACGCACCCTCAGGACGCACACACAGAGCACCTCAAATGTGCAACACGGGGTGCGAGGCCGCAGCCCCCTCCTGCCTGGAGAGCTGCAGCTCCCAGTCCCTAGCCATCTTCCCACAGGCCCTGCTTGCTTGGTCTAGGTTAGAGCCACACTGGACCCCCTGAACCCACAAACACAGGAGAACATGGAGCTAATTTAGCCACCACGTCGGGGACTGTCTGGAAGGTCCGGTGCCCTGCACCTCCCAAGGGCCTGGCTTCCACCCTCACCACAGGCCCCTGGGATTCCAGGACTCGGTGACCTGGGGCCTCAGCCTGAAATCAGGGCAGCTGGAGGGGGAGCACTGAATTAGGAATCCGAATCCCATACTCCAGCCCCAGCTCTACCCAGAACTTTGGACAGCCTTCTCCCCTTCCTGTGAAATCAGCAAGTTGATCCTGATACATTTTAGAACCCTCCATAGATCTAGAATGTTCTTTGAAATTTCGGATGAAGAAGCAGGAAGTAAACGTTCTTCTGCAATTGACTGGTGACTACTTAGGAATTTTAGAAGGCATATAATGAGCTGGGCGTGGTGGTGCACACCTGTAATCCAGTATTCTAGGAAGCCAAGGCAGGAAGATTGCCAAGTGTGAGCCCAGCCTGAGCAATTTAGCAACTTACTAAGACCTTATTTCAAAACTACAAAATAATTAAAAAGAGCTGGCACTGTAGCTCGGTGCAAAGGCCCTGTGTTCAATTCCTAGTACTGCCAAATAAATAAATAAACAAACAAATAAATGGAACACAACAATCCCTTTGCCCTTTCTGATTCCTTCCGTCTGCTGAAAGGGGAGTCAGTCATTATTTTTAATTATTCAACATGCTGACAAGTTTCCTTTTCTCTCACAGTATGAACGACCTTTTCTGAACTCAAAAGTTATCACTGCAGGAGTTTTGAACGGGTGAAAACATGTACTTCTTCCGCCTTTAGCAGATGCCTAATATAAATTCAGGGTGAAATTCTCTTCCAAATGAGTTGCCACAGAGCCTGTGAAGGGACTATGAACTCTTCCTTTGTTCCCCTACATTACAGAACCCCAAGCTCCAATGTGACTGTGTCCAAGCGGGGGATCTGGAAGGTTCTCCAGATCCAGTGCAAAGGGGAGAGCACCGAGGACCCCCCGTTTGCTCAGTGAAAGCTTTTCCCTTACATCATCACCAAAGGAAATTTCAAGCGTTAAATACAAATGTCTCCCAGGGACAGAGGGTCCCCGACTTACAAGGCTCAGGCTGCCGTCTTAGTCTCCTCCCTGTCACCGGCACACAATGCCTGACGCCCACAGCGTAAGGCAGGGGAGGCTGACTCCGGCTCAGGCTTCAGTCCCAGGCGGAAACAAGATGGTGGAGGGGCTTGGGGGAGGAAACGCTGCTCAGCTCACGGCGGCCAGGAAGCAGCGTGAGGAGGGGGAAGGCGGGGAAGGAGACCCGCCCTTTCCGTCCCTCCCCGGTGAGCACCCCCCCTCCAGCAGTGCCTGTGAATGGATTAACCCGCTGCTCAGTGTACTGTCTCATGATCCTGACTTCCAGAAGCCCCACCTCTGAGCACATGGGAGTTCTGAGCAACATTCCAGATCTAAGCCGTAACACTTGCAACTCAGCGAACCCATCACGGTGCAAAAGCGGTGAACACCCATCAGAAACCGTGTTTGGAATTCTGATCGTGGCCAGGACTGCACTGACCGCAGTCTGATTTTCTCCCCTAGCTGAACCCCAGTGGTGACCTGCGCTGGGCCACAAGGTCAGAGGGGAAGCTCCGTGCCTCTGCGGCGTGTGCCGTGGAGCTAGGCAGTGGCAGGCTGGGCGTAGGTACCAGGTGCGTTCTGCCTGTGACGCTCCCAACTTAGCACGCGTCCGCCAGGAGGAAGCCCCTGCTAGGAGGAGACTCTACTCTTTGAACGGGTTCATTGTTACTGTTGTTTTATTGAATACCAGTCAAAGGTCTTGTATCCTACTGCATTGCTTTTTGCTGCTCATTATAAAAGGCGATGTCTCAAGATTCCATTCCCCAGCGAGCATATTTCAAAGACAGACAGAAAACCTTTGCGTCCCACACTGACGCGGGTGGGTTCGCAGGACGCTCACAGCCGGCAAGAAACGCTTGTCCTTCCTCTCAACCCACGGTGACCTCGCTGTGTTCCAGACACAGGGAAGATGGGAACCACGCCACGCAGTACACTGGCCCGAGGCCTCCCAGTAAGTCTCCAAATAATGCTGAGCAACCACGCTCCCTCTTACATTTGTAATCAACATCTGAACGTTTCTTTCATGAGTTCAATTGGTTGCAACAGATGTACAATATAAATATGCGTGTTTTTAATTAAACATCTCATCACTTTCAAAGGAGTAACCCGAGGAATGCGGTATTGGTACTTTCACACCAGCACCCTCCCTGGAAAAGTGTGACTAAGTCTGTCCTTCGGCAGAATTTTCGACCGCGTCTCTTCTTTGTTGAACTTATTTCTACCCTCCTGCCGGACAGAATCGCATCTTAACCAAACTGCTTCACACTTGAGAGATTTTTTTTTTTAAAAAATCAAATCTGTGTATAAAATATGCATAGAAATTACATTTTAATGGTCAATCTCCTTTCACCCTAAGGTGGTAGTGTTAAATTCTCTGTGTATCAAGTCATCATTGTGACAATGTACACATATACATGTAACTTTTTGTGTGATTCTCGAGATCAAACCTAGGGCCTTGCATATGCCAGACGGGTGCTCTACCTGCACACTGCCCGCTGGCAGCAGAAAAATGCTAGAAGCTGTGACCTCTGTAAAACAAACATGTAAAATTAAACATGATAATGTTTAATGAGTAATGAGTAAATAAGTCTTTTTAATTAATTCCTTAAAAGTGACTGGAATCTTTACTCCTGGGGTAAGGCAGGGCTTGACATAGCCGCTCTCAGATCTGCCGTCTGTATGAGCCACGAGCACCGGGAGACTGCTCAGTGGGTAACCAGAGCTGAAGTTAGGGGGTTTACTCTAGCTACATCACCCCGCTCCGTTTTTAAGACTCTTCCTCTGCTACAGGCCAAACGGTTTAGTTGGCCCATCACGGGGACGATGCGTAATGATCTATTATATGACCACTCAAGTCCTTTGTGGATTTGGTTAGAAAGGAAAGCTGGAGGGCAGCTGGCTTCAGAGAGGTTTCCCGCCGAGCCCCGGAGCTCCTCATCTGCTCTGCCCATGTGATGCGGCCACCTGTCCTGTTCAGCACCAGGAACAGATCTGTCCACCCCAGTGATGTCCCCAGAGCACAAGACCCCAGCCCGTCTCTAGCAGGGAGCAGTGGGCATTTGTCAGACTCAGTGGACGGATGCTGGCGAGTTCTCGGGACAGCGGGTCTGGGAGGGGCCTGTGTGATGGGACGACTCTGGAAGTGGACTCCCTGGGAAATCCTGGTGTTTTCCCGGGGTGCACACCTGGGTCAGACCCTCAGGTGGACACAATAGGGTTCCATAATGGGAGAGCATGGGTGGTGGCGTTTAGAGAAGATGTCACGGAATACAGGAGCAGGGCCGTCAGGAGAGACAGGAAGCTGCCTACGGAACCACAGGACTTGGGCAGACGCGGAGGGAAGGTGGTTCAAAGAGGGCAAAGCATACACGCATGGGGCTGCGGGGAACGATCAGGTGCTGGACAGGTGTTGGGATTCCCTGTCCCACAGTGTGCAAAAGACTGTGTGTGCACGCACATGTGACAATGCTCAGGAGCTAGGGTTCAGAAACGAGGCTCAGGACCAGCCCTCCGCCACCAGCACCACATGGGTTCTGCCCGACTGAGGCTTGCTACCCTCCTGTCCTCTGATTGGCCCTTAGGCTCAGTTTTTTGAATGGAGTTGAACTGTGTATTACTCTTCAAAATCACAGACTCTTCCGTCTTACGGGCCCCACTTAGCATTTTATGTGAATGTGCTTACCAAGAACCCCCGCAGACAGGGCCCCTCAGAGACCAGTGGTAGAAGCAGCAGCACAGTGAGCGGACCATAGAACACCAGTGCTCACATTCGTATTTTCTCAACAAGGCAAGATGATAAAGATGGAAAGCTTGTACAGCTCTAAAACCCACCTGATTATTCTGGGAGTCCGGCATTGCATTCTTAGTACCAAGCTTTCCCTAGTCCTCCTGTTGTAAGTGGCCATTCGAACCTTGGGCTGAGGAATTTTGAGTGTATCGCATTGTGAGACAGAGCTGTGTACGTACTGCTGTTCTTTAAAAACATACAGAGGAGAAAGCTGCTGCTTTCACCCGTGCAGCACTGCCTCCCTCCCTGCTCGTGTCTGATGAATTCCATCGTCTTGCAGGTAGCCTGCTCCTACTCCCTGGGCGGGTGCCTCCTCTCCTAAGCACCCCCACCACTGATGGTGGGCAGAGGAGGGAGCAGAACCTGGCTAACTGGGAACCCATGGAAACAAGGACAGGCCCAGCAATGGGCAAATGTCCTAAGCTGGGACTGGCAAACCATCTCAGGACCTTTCCTCACAGTATGGAGGAAGGTCATCTTGTTATGCTGGGACAGTGGATGAGGAGTCACGTAATGGTGGCTGTTTGAACTGACACATAGAGGCAGTCTCCAGCGGTTAGGGAGGGACATCGCCCTAAGATACAATTTCAGTGCATGGAGCCAGCCACGTCCATAACTGGTGGTGCATGTCTGTAATCCCAGTACTTTGGGAGGCTGAGGCAGGAGGATTGAAAGTTGAAGCTCAGTCTGGGTAACTTAGTGACCTAGCGAGACCCTGTCTTAAAATTTTAAAAAGAGCCAAGGATGTAGCTCAGTATGAAGAGCTTGAGTTCAGCCCTCTGTACTGAAGAAAAAAATTTGTTGCTTGGGTTTTCCAGTTATATGAACCAAAGAAAAACATGGTTAGATATAAAAACCTTTGATATATTTATGTATCTTGGAACCAAAGAATCTTAAGTAATAAAGGTCTAAATTTCCCTGATTTTGCATAGTATTTATTTCATATTATGATTATTCTCTCATACAAACTTTTATTGTAAAGCTATAATAATTTAACAGCTGATGTCATAGGTCCTTCCCTTCTTAGATTTATTTACCTTCCTTGGACGTACATGTGTGTGTAGTCTAATTTAGGGTGTACTGAAGGGTGTGTACCTAGGATGCACTCTCAGAGCCCTCTTGTGTCTGGTCGGCCCTGTTGAATTTTTGTCCTTGACTATGAGTATGGGTAACTGCAAATACCATTAAGATAAAACCTTCTTGGTGAATGTGTTCCCAGATCCTCTGTTTTCTCATGCTTCACCTTACAGAGGAGAATACAGATGCAGAGTTTTCTGTCTCTATAACCTATGTCTAGAAGGTAGTAATATTTTCCTTTTTATCTGTGAACATCAAAATGCTTACCAAAAAGTCTCTAAATGTGTGTTTTCAATGAATGACTCATTTCATTTCCAAGAACAGTTTGATGTTCATTTGTTGTGAACATCAAACAAACGAGCATTAATAATGTGAACATTATTTTTCAGTAACAGTCTGCTCTTGTTTTATGCATGTGGTAACCCATTAAATTTGCTGACTGAAAGTACTGTGTTATAGTTCTGCTCTATTTCCTAAAATTGAAGGAGCTCTGCTTCCTTTACGGTTAACACCTCAGATCAATGATCAGTGTCAGATTCTCTTTGATGCATTGAAAACTGGGCCAGGGGCCCATGGGCTGGAGGGGGTGGCAATGCGGGGGCATGGGAACATCACTGTGACTTTACTGTGGGACAGGAAGCCTAGTGACACAGGGACCAGAACTGGGCTAAGCGGATTGCCCTAGGGGCAGGGACAGAAGTCTGCTTGGGGTGAAGCCTGTGTTTAACAGATGGCCACAGTGACCTTGGTGGACAGTGCTTGGGCTCAGTCACTTGGACCTGAAGTTTCACACTGGGGCATTTTTTGGCAAATCAGTAAACAGAATTCCTCCTCTCTGCTAATGTCACAGCATCAGAAGCTGTCTGTAAACTATTGGCTAATTATACTACAGAGTTCAGACAATGTTGATATTGAAAAACCACAGCCGGAAAATCAAGTTAAGACAGTCCGCAGTGTTCAGCTGGGGAAGCTCTCACTCACCCCACCTGCACCCTTTATTCCTGTTTTGCAAATTATAAAAGCAAATTATAAAAGAATCCCCACCAACCAACCATTTTACCAGTGCCCAGGATTTATGGGGAAGAAACATACTCTTCTACGTTCATCAAAGGGGCAAGTCCATTGACAAATCACACACACACACACACACACACACACACACACACACACACACCACTTGTCAGAGAAGAATTCAAATTAAGGTTCGTTCACCCAGAAAACATGAAAGGAATCTTATTCAGAATACTTGCATTTAAACAGTCAAGCTTTCCTAAGCCAAAAGATTTTCTTCCATGTTCTATGGAACAACTCTTGATTCCATTTGTCTAGGGGTTTCAATATATTTGAAACTATTTTTTTAAGAAAAAAATGAAGCTAGGCATGGTGACACACTCCTGTAATCCCTCTCAGGGAGGCTGAGGAAGGAGGACTGCAAGGTTGAATCTAGCCTGGGCAACTTAGTAAGGCCCTGTCTCAAAATAAAAAAATAAAAAAAGGGCTGAGGGTGTGTCTCAGCATGAATGCCCTGGCTTCAATACCCCTAAACAAACAAAAACAATGGAAGAAAACCTCAATCCTATCTAACTTTGGGGGCCTCCCCTCTGCAGGGACTGGGGCGTCTGAGGTGTGGGTGGCCGTCCCTGTGGCCAGGAGCAGAGCTGACACTTTCTGACTCAGACAGAAATCCTTCTTCCCGAGTCCGTGTGCTCGGCCCCCGACTCCCAGCGCACGGCCTCCCAGAAGAGCACACCGGGAGCCCCGTCTCCGGGGTCTCGCACGGCCGTCCAAAGCCTTCAGCCACAAGGACTGGCTTCCTGGAAGGCGACCGCTCCCTGGTGGGGGTTGGTTTCAGGAGGACTCAAGTGCAGTATGTTTAGTGAGTTCTGTTTCTACTGCTACACATTAGATTCTCACTCTCACACGAGCGTGTGACCCAGACCCTGGCCTGTGCATTCCCAGCAGGGTCTGAGTTCCCCTGAGAATCTGATGCCACTGGTCTCACAGGAGGGGCTCCGTGGGTGGAGCCGGAGCGGTGCGCAGGGTTGGGAGCCTCCTGCTGTGTGGCCCGGGTTGGGGACCCTGCTCTAGTGTATCAGAGCCGTGAATTTTATTTGAGCGGCAGCTCAGAAACCTGAGCACTCTGGGACTTGCTGCGCTGCCAAGCCCCTCACTCCGGAGTGGGCTTGAGTGATGCCAGCGAGTTCTCTGCCCACGCCAGCCGGGAGGCTGGGGACGGTGCTGCCCGGGACGTCATGGTTGTCCCTGACTTCTGGCCTTTGTTCTGTTGGTGGCGCTGGGGATGCAGCCTGGTCTGCACCTCTCTTAGGAGCCCGGCATCCCACCCACCCGCCTGCCTCTTCCTCCTGAGGCCCTCTTCTCCTGGCCGGCCAGGAGTGGGAATCATGTGCTCTGGGAACCTCAGGCTTGCCTGCCCCTGTGTCCTATTCCAGAGTGGAGAAGGTGGCCTTGCTCTCCCAGCTCAAAGCACTTCCTCCCCGGTGGGAGCAGCCTGAGGGAACCAGGAGGGACAGGGTCTGGCGGGAGCCAGAAGGACAGCGTGGCGTCTGCCCCCTTCCCAGGGTCCAGGGCCCGCTCTGCGTCTGTTCTCCCAGCAACCTCATCGTCCTGCCTGGTCCCGGGTCTCGGGCTCAAGGTGACACAGGAAGAAGCCATCACGATCGCCCCTGGCTGCGGGGCCCTTCCAGCCCTGGACACCTAAGACCACCGTGCTTGCCTCAGGATGCCCCAGAGGATGTGTTGGTGTCACTGTCCGGCTGTTCTGAACCCCAGGAGTTCCTCCCTCGGCAAGGCGGATCCCCTCTGCCCGCCCCCCATGATGGTCCGGCTGGGCAGGGACAGGGCTTCCTTGCACCCCACGGCTGCCTGGCTGAGCTGCAGCCACCAAGGTCTCCGCGGGGCTCGCCTTGCGGGTGGTTTTCTGTTCTCGCCTCCCTGACACCCATCCCGGCCCACTGCAAAGGCCGTGCCCTCCCGGCCGCTCGAAACCCTGCACGCAGGCGCTGGGCTCAGGAGGCACGGCTGCTTCCTCCCTGTCAGCAGATTCCGGGCCGGCGCTCTTCGTGGACCTCCGATTAATCTTTCGGAAAGTTGCCCCCAAATGCCCTCCACAGGTGAAAGCAACACTTCCCTCTACACGGAAGGGCTAGAGTCACGTGTGGAAAGCACACCAGAACTGCTTCAGAGAAGCAGAGCGACCAGGTGGTCCCCAAACAGAAACGTGATGCAGGGCTCGCAGAGTGTCAACAGCCAGAGCGACAGAAGTCTGGAGTCCGTCAGCACGTCCACCTCGCCCGCCAGCTCCAATCCTCCACTGGCCATCCAATTATTTTTGTGTTCTTCTTCCTTTTTCTGTAAAAATTATGCCCGCAGTTTGGGATGGATGCCACAGCAGGAACCTGGAAGCTCAAACCCTTCCAGGGTCTGGACTCTTAAATCAATGTGCATGTTGCTTAATGCTGAAAAGACATTCCAGTGGTGCCGGTGCCGGGACACGGTCCCCTCCGCGACATCAGAGAAATCAGAAAGTGCTGACTGCCGTACCACAGGAGCGGACAAAGCTGAGTGAGTAATAATTGTGCTTTACCGCGCTCCTCGGACGCATGCATGCACGCGAGTGCGCACACGCACACACAGAGCAAATCCACTCTCGAGAGCACGTGAGTCGGGTGGAGCTGTTAGCCCAAAGACAAGGAAAAGTTGCACCCTGCCTTTCCCGGGAGCCCTCGGCCGGCCCAGCTGTGCTGGGGATGCCTATCTGCTTCTGACAGTGACAAGACTGGATCTCATCCTTAGAGCCCATCCTGCGGGGAGGCTGGGACAGTCGCTCATGGCCTTACGCAAGGCCAACAGACGACACAGCCAGCAAATTAGACGTTTCCCACACAGACCAGCTGTCTAACTGGCAATTATGGTGGCCCAAAATAACTCACCTTTATTGCCCGAAAGCACTCACCTAAGCAAACCCCGATACCCAAAATAACCTCCACGAGGCTGTGGTTTGGCCGGGGCTCTGACTCCATGCTGGGCCTTGAACCCACTTCCCTCCCCGACCTCGGAGGACACAGCTAACAGCTCTGCCGCCCTCTACAGGCTGAGGCCTCTGCCGGACCACCTCATCTACCAGCGCTTTTCTCCCAGGGCTCTCCAGGTTGTAAAATAAAGTTCACTTTTCTTCCTTTAGTTTACAAAGTCAAGAAAATACA